AGTTTACCTTTGTGATTCGTCATCGCAGATGCCTTGAGTCGGAGAGCATCATTTTTTACCACTATGGCAGCTATGGTGACAGACTTTGAGTGTTTGTTTTACTTGCATGCTGATGATGATGATTTTGGAGGATTTTGGTACAGTACCATGGCAAAAGTGGCAGGAGAATATGGTACAGAATGGGTTTCTCTTCTAAGGGAATCAATTATGCATTCGTGCTAGATCTCTTAAAGAGGTCCTCATTTCAAAGCTACGTTTTCTTTTCATTTTTTTATGAGGGGGGAGGGGAACACTGTGGGTGAAACAAAACCATTGCACTAGTGACTCTTAAGTATTATTAGCCCAAACTTAGACAAGATGTGGTAGGCACATTGAGAGGTAGAGAGTCTATCAAGTTGTAAGGGTTTAGGGTTAGAACACAAGTTTATATTTTCCACTTACCCGTTCCCAGTGCATCAATGGAAGATGTTAGAATGGACCATAGTTACCAGGATCTCCCACTTTGGTAGGCGATCCCTTCTAAGATCTCGATTTTGTCACTCACGGAATGGATCTCTCAGGGATCTCGATTTTAAATTTTGGAATCCGAAGCCCACTCATAGGAAACCCAATTCCTGCTTTAGGGATCTCGATCCCAACCTTAAAAACCAAGACCACAATCAAATTGATGATTTTCTTTGTTTATAACCAACTAGCAATACAACTATTGCTTGCTTGCTATCAACAATAAGATCCTTGCTTTAAAGAGTACACATAATCCTAAATTATCATACAATTTAAGGTTGTTAACAAGATCCCCAAAAAGTTGGAATCAAGATCCCCAAACGTCGGGATTAAGATCCCCAAAAGGTTGGAATCTCAATCCTTAACATTTGGGAATCTCAATTCCTAACATGTGCATTGTACGGACAACGTTCCCAACCATAGGGGTCTTCTACCATTTCACAATCCCTCGCCCCCGATCCCGGTACCGTTCCTGCTTCTGATGCCAACTATGGCATGGACTTCGTACTAGGTATTTCGCGACTCAAAAAGGTATGGACTATGGACGCTATATTTGTTGTGGTTGACAGGTTTTCAAAGATGACCCACTTCATTGCTTGCAAGAAGACTCCAGATGTAACTCATGTGGGCAACTTATATTCCGTGAGGGGGTGAGACTTCATGAGAATCCCAAAATGAATGAATTGGACATGAATATCAAGTTTCTCAACCACTTTTGGGGAACTTTGTAGCACAAGATGGGTACCACGCTACAGTGGGATTGGAGATTGCCACTACCAAGTACAAAGAAGCAATAGATAAACGTAGGCAATTCAAGGAGTTGCAGCTGGACATGGCTCCTCTACCAGCTAATGGGAAAGGAACTTAGATGCTGACAGTATGATCGAACACATGAAGAATGGTTTTTTTCAATAAAGTTAACCTTAATGAAGGATGTTCATAACAAGGTTCGATCTAATTTGGAGATTACCAAGTACAAGGAAGCTACATATAAGCATAGGCAATTCAAGGAGTTGCAGGTGGGCAATATGGTGATATCTATGCAAAGATAGAGATCTTGTGGACAAATACAAGAAGCGAAATAATAGGAAGATCAGATTGTTTCAGGTGTGGAAAAAGATGGGGATTAAATACCTATAAGATCAACCTTCCAGCTAAGATTGAGACCTCCAATCTGTTTGATGTTGCTTTCGAGCACCATGAACCCAAAGTACCAATAGAAAAAGAGCCCAACTCGAGGTCAAGTTCTTTCCAATTGGGGGAGAATGATGTGCCTGACAGTCCTTCATCTAGTCATAAGCCTTTGACCCAATCAATCCATCATTTGATGATCCCTTTTATGATGATCCACATCCCAAGGTTGCAAGGAGATCTAAGAGGGGAAAACCTACTTTTTTGAACAGTTTATTTTTAGTTTGTTGTTGTCTTTACAACCTCCCAGTGAATTCTTATATTTTCATTGAAGTTAGGAGCATTTTAGGGGCCTTTTATGTTTTAATTGAGTGAAAGGACTTATGGGGTATTGTAATAATGTTTTACCTTAAGCAAGGATACTTTAGGTCTTTTTTATTATAATGGGATTTAAGTTAAGGGCTTGGAGTGTTAGGGTTTCTAACCTTTTTTGGGATGAGAACAGTAAAAAAAGGGTGTCAATGGTAACATAAGGCCCTGTCTAGGTTTTGGGGCTTTTTTTTCGTGCAAGGAGTGCTAGGTCCACTCAAATCTGGCAAGTTTTTTTTGTATGGTTTACTGAACTATTATTGCCACTTTTCTCTATTTTCTTGCCTCATTAAAATACCCTAAGACCCGTTTCGGCACATAGATTTTGGGGCATGGATTTTTAATATCTTGCCTATTACTAAAATCAACCGTTTGTTTTGCTCAATGGCTAGGATACTAAAATTCTGTGGAAATTTAATCTTGAGAAATCATCTAACTTTTTCACATTTTCATTTCCAGACCAAAACCTTTTTCTATATAATTTCCAAGGTCGGGGCATTCCACTCGTCGGCTCTGCGACACAAAACTTAGGGTACATTTTGTAGGTAGGAAAATATTTGCATGAAAATATTTTCATGTGAAAATTAAGTTACGCATGTTTGGTACATGACAAATAAAAAAATTATATCAAATTTTACGGAGAGAGGACTAAAAAAATTTTAAAGAGAGAACTATCTCAAAAAATTTAGAGGGTGAAACTATCTCAAATTTTAAGTTTTAGAGAGAGAATATAAAAATTTAAGAGAAAAACTATATCAAATATTAAAGAGAGAGTACTTAAATTTTTTTTGGGAGATAAACTATCTCAAAACTTTTAAAGAGAAACTATCTCAAATTTTAAGTTTTAGAGGGAAAACACAATAAAATTTTAAAGTGTATCAAATTTTAGAGAGAGAAAGTACCTGAAACTTTTAAAAGAAACTATCTCAAATTTTTAGAAAACTTTCACAAATTTAAGGTTTTAGAGAGAAAACATCTTCAAATTTTAGAGAAGAAAAACTACCTCAAATCTTATCTTTTAGAGAGAAAAATATCTAAAAATTTTGAAAAACATTATATTAAATTTTTGAGAGAAACTACCTTAAAACTTCTAGAGAGAAATATTTCAAATTTTTTAAAGAGAAACTATCTCAAATTTAAACTTTCAGAGAGACAAAGTACATTAATATTTCAGATACAAAAATTATATCAAATTCTACAAAGAGAAACTACCAGAAAACTTTTAGAGAGAAACTATCTCAAATTTTAAATTTTAGATAGAGAAAGTACTTTAAAATTTTAAAGAGAATAACTATATCAAATTTTAGATCGAGAAAGTACCTGAAATTTTGAAAGGGACTTTCAAAAATTTTAGAGAGAAACTATCTCAAATTTTAAATTTTAGAGAGAAAGTATAATTAAATTTTAGAGAAATTATATCAAATTTTAAGCTTTAGAGAGAAAGCATCTTAAAATTTTAAAGAGAGTAACAATATCAAATTTTAGAGAGAGAAAGTCCTAAAAAATTTTAGAGATTCAAATTTTTTAAAGAAACTATCTCAAATTTTAAGTTTTAGAGAGAGAAAGTATCTTAAAATTTTAGAGAGAGAAACTATATCAAATCATAGAGAGAAACTACCTGAAATGTTTTAGAGAGAGTGCCTAATTTTTTTAGAGAGAAACTATTTCAAAATTTTTAAAGAGACTTTCAAATTTTATGTTTTAGAGAGAAAAAGCATATTAAAATTTTAGTGAGAGAAACCATATCAAATTTTAGATCAGAAACTGTCTCAAAATTTATAGACTATCCCAAATTTTGAGTTTTAGAGAGAGAAAGTACATTAAAATTTTCGAGAGAAACTATAACAAATTTTGTTACCAAACAGTTGGTCATAGAAATGATTGTAAGGAATCTATAAATTTTGTATTGTATATTCAAACAAGAGATTTGAGGAATCCATAACAAGAATCCTTGATATTGGAAATTCATAGGTTTTCTTGGATTTCAAATATCCAAAATTCCTAATTTCCTCCTATCCAATCAGGCCCAATAAAAATACAGCATCCCTCTTACCTTCCACCATTTCTGAATGATCCTTCTTATCCTTGAAGTACACTGTCAATAGAAGGCTCCCCCCACCCAACCCCGTGCAGTCCTCTTGACTATGCTCTTTGAATTGGGCCCAAAGTAGACAATTTCCACATCAAGCTTTAAAAAAAATAAAATAAAATAACAAATATAATAACTGTTAGACAAGTAATGTTCTATGCTTGATGGGGTGAATTGCCGCTACGATTTTACCAAGGACAATTTCTTATATGTTGCTAACTAGTCTTTAATAGTCAACCAATTAAGAAAATGCATCGTGACTAATTCTGCAAACTAAAGGGGATTAGGGAATAAATACCACCTACTTCACTAGGTTATAAAGATATAGGGACCTGGGCTAGTTATGACATTAATCTAATGAACAACTACCTTATCCAAATGGATTTGGATATTGAGAAGTGGGAAGGGTTGCCAAAGGTATGGTTCAGATGCACGCAAAGGATAGCATCAACTTGGGTAATGAAAGATGTCAAGGAATGCAGAGTTTTCAAGGGCATATGGAACTTTATGAAGCACAGTCCCATGTCATGACTCGTGAGTAACATGATGGTATGGAAGGAATTTGAGCAGATGTCTTTATATTAGAAGCAAATGCAAATTTGGAGAGATAAATGGCTTAGGGATGCATCGAAGAATGGTTTTGCAAGATAAGGGCCCCAATTGACAGTACTGGGTGGAAACCAGAATGTTCAAAAAAACGGATTCGGCTACCTAGGCGTTTTGGGTGCCTGGCTGCGTAGGAGGGTGGCTAGAGACAGGGTGCCCTCACCAAAATTGCACCCCCCCCCCCCCCCCTAGCAAAAAATAAATAAACAAAAACACAGGGAAGTTCTTAGGGTGTGATTTTAAGCCTTAGGGAGTTTTTTGGGGCAATTTTTGAGCCCCAAACTCGTGGAATAAACGAAATGTAATAGTACAATCACATAACAGATTTACGAATACAAGTCTCAAAGAGATTGTAACATGTAAGATATTAAAATGCTTGAAATCCCAAATGTCATTGTAGGAAACTAGAAGTCTAGACTAGAAACGATGCACAAAGTCAACAAGGCAAAATCGAAAAACAAATACATGAAGAACAAGTCATCAACCAATCAACTCTATGGCATCAACGGCATCCCAATTGGATCATGAGGAGCATCTGATGATGATGTTTCCATGCCGTCATCATCAAAGTCATAGCCCTCCTCAACTTATTGAGCATCATCCCTCATCTCCTTTGAATCTACTTCTTCCTCGTCTTCATCCTCTCTTGATGTCATCAGCCTCTTCCTCTTCTTCGCCACTACCTTCACTTGTCGGGCCTTATCCTTCCTTTGGCTTTGAGTTTGAGCCCGAGTGGTATGCACAGGGGGCATTGATGCCCCAGCAGCCTCACGAACCTAGCCTCAAGTCAAGCCCTCTCTAGGGAATACCTCATCATCACTAACATCGACCATCAACTTGCATGTGTGATCAATATCAAAAGCTTCAATAGCTTCCCTTTGATTGTGCTCCAGCTGATGATGGCTCTCTTGCAACTTTTGATTATACTGAACAAAGACTAGTTCATTCAGTCATTTTTGCTCTAGTTTGTTCCTCTTCTTTGTATGCACCTAATAAAAAAAAACTCACTTAGTTACTAAATACTAACTAGTCTACTACTAAGCATATATGACATTAACTTAATAATTAAATAAATAATATTACCATTTCAAAGGTGCTGAAGTTGCGCTCACATCCAAAAGAGCTGCAAGTCAGATTTACTATTTTCATGGCCATCTGCCTCAAATGAGGGGTGCTTCCATCATGCACCTATTTCATGTAAATATAAAATTGTGAATATAGTAATTTAGTAAATTAGGTATCTGGCTATCTAGTTAAACGAAATTAAATACTCAAATTATAAAATCATTGAAGAAGTTGTTATGGACATTATCATGGACTCAAGACTTTCTTTTCTTTTTCAATGGTTGTCATGAACATCTTCCCCTTACCAATGGCCTCAAGCATAAGGTCTATGCAGTGTGCTGCACAAGGGGACCAAAAAATACGCGACCTCTTCTTCATCACTAACTTGGCGGTCACCATATTACTTGAATACATGTTGATCACAACTTGGACTACTTGATCCTCCCCCATCTCTTCTATACACTAGCCAACCAACTTAAAAATGAACTCTTCATCATGGGACTTATCTAATGCATCAATAGACCTCTTGAACATTGTCCATAATGGACAATTCATCATTAAATTCATGATGCTTCTATGCCTCTTACTACTCCAGCCATCGGTCATTACTGTGCAACCATATACACTTGGGTCTTCAAATAGGTATTCTTTAGCTCCACCTTTTTCTTGAGTATTGGCCTTTTAAACTCATAAGTAGTTGGAGCCCTCAACCCTGGCCCAAACTAGCCCACTGCTTCAAACATAGCTTGGAAGCTACTCACGTTAGCGGCATTAAAAGAAATGCCTGCTTGGAATATCCACCTCCCCACATATTGGATGACCCTTTCTCTGTCATCCTTCTTGAAATGGGTCTCTAAGCATGTTTGACCCCTTTCTCGTGGTAGTACCTCCAGAAGAAGGTGGGGAAAGAAAGCATTTATAGGCCCTCTTGCTCTTGGTCTACTAGAAGAACCAACCTCAGTATACATGTCTTCTTCCTCTATTCGAACTCCAAGAACATCTATAGCCCTTACAAGTTCATCTCGTGGTATTCTCACCTCTTGTTTCTTGGCTTTCACCCCCTTCAAGTTCTCTAGCATCTCTCCCCTAACCTCAGCACTAGAATGCATGACGCCACATCCCCTTTAATGGCGGCTAAATGCTTCTTCAATCTGTTGGTGCCAACATTATAACATTACTTTCACTCGATCTTATTCTTGTCAAGAGGATTTGGACAAATTCAATACTTCCAACCTAGATCAGTTGGCCTACTTGATGCACTAGAAGTCATTACCCTCAATGAATAATAATTGATCTACTATCAATCAATGTGATTTAGAATCAATCACCTAATCAACAAACCTGTAAAATACATAAGATTAAAGAATTAAGTCACTACCTATTACTTTACAATAAGACTTAAATGAATAACTGAATATATAAGACATGAAGACATTAGTTTCACTTTCACATAAGACTTAACCGATTAAGATATCACATAATCAATTATTTATCAAATAAACTAAAACAAAAATAATAAAATATCAAAATATGACACATTATACAAAAAAGGAATAAACTATTCATAAAATAATACGATATATGCTCAATTTCATCGTCCAAATGAGAAAAAATGCAATTAAGGCTAAATCCAATACATATGGGCATCGGGGTCCCCCCTAATACCCCTTCTGCTTTCACCTCTAGATGGGGATGTGCAACAGACGACCTTTTGACGAAGCATCTTAGCGTCTCATTATGACATGGAAAATCTAGTAAAGCCTTGCAGGACCCTGCCATTGAGAATTTCCAAAAGTGTTTGGCTCATTCTAAAGGACATTTTATTTTTCTAGAGCCAGCATTACACTCATCAAAGCCACGCTATCCACCATCGCCGTCTATTTCATGCCCCTCTTCCTTATACCATCTAGTTTTTTCCAGGCTATAGAGCATCTGAAATCCTTTCTTTGATCAGATGAATCTCTAAAAAAAAAGAGTCATCTCGTTCCATGAGAGAAAGTGTGCCTACTTAAACACATTTGAGGGTTAGGTATTAGGAATCTTAGACATTCGCTGCAGGGGAAATGGTGGTGGCATTTTTCCAATTGCCATGACCTTCTGTGGACAGAGGAATGAACACTCTTAGCTGGTTTAATTTTAGGAGACCAAGTAATCACTCATCTAGTGTGTGTGTGTGTGTATAGGACTATTCTATGCATGCCGACAGTCGTTTTTTCCTTCATTGGTACAAGGTGAACCGACAATTGGTCTAGTCTCATACTTGGAATGGACAAAACCTCTTAAGCACTTGTGGCCAAACATTTTCTTAATCCTCATCCTTCCCAATGCTTGAATATTTTGCAGCACTCCCACCTTTAGAAGACCACTCTTGGATGACCAAAGACCTCAGCTCTTCATCGTCTATTGCTAACCTTTTTCCTCAACGACTCTTATTGATTAAATATTCTGGACACAACCCCCACCAGGGAGTGGGGGGGGGAGTTCAGGCATTTGTTTGGTTTGAGATCCGCAATTGTAAGGGCTGCCTACACCCCTCATTTCACCTTCTATATCTTCCTCAGAAGAAAGAGTGCTTGAGCACCCAACGTGAGGGTTGCCAGTCACTCAACTTTTTGTTAGCAGTGAGAACTTTTTGCATAGAGCACCCCGCTTGTGGGCTGCCCTACACTTGCTCCTCGTGAGGACATTTCTACATTATAAGTAATACACTCACAAATTTGAAAAGAAGTAAGATAAGAAATAAAGGAAGTTGGTACCATACAAAAGGATTCCATGATAAAGATATAAGCAAGATGGCATGGTAGTGGAGCCGTAGGTATTGGTACCATACAAAAGGATTCCAAGAATTGCTTAGTTTGTGGGGAGGACCAATATGATCCAGCTCAAGAGTTCGAAGGAAGAGGCTCTTCCTCGAGTTTTTCTCTTTTATTATGGACAGTTGAAAAGGAGAAATTCCTAGCAATTGACCATCTATAGCATATACAGCTGTACCAGTATATGCTCTTAAACAAGCAAAGGAAAAGTATGCTGGTCCAATGCAACTAAAGTCAGTTGGTGATGCAGGTCAAAGTCAGTCTTATTTTAAATGTAAACTATATTTCAAAGGATGTATATTTTAAATCATCTAAAAAAAAGGATGTATATTTTAATTTTGATTTTAGGTTTTTAGGGGTTCTTTTTTTTTTTTTTTTGGATTTTTAGAGAAGTACTTGAGCATGACTATGGAATATTTTGCTTTCTCAAGGGAATTGTTATTACAGATTTTGTGATAAATTTAGGACGTTTGGGTATTCATTGCATGGACATTAAATATCCTAGGACAATTAAATGCACACTATTTAAGAGGTGTTGGGCCCTTAGTGGTCATTCATGAGACTTGTTTGGGAAAAAAGGAAGCTTTTGGTGTACCCTGGTGAGGGTTTTGTGTAGGAGAACCCTACGGTTTCTCCAAGAGATTGCTTGTGATTCACCTGAATCATTGTTGTTTTCTATTCTCTATCAATTTCGCTACATCAGTTGGTGAGGATATATGATAGTATTCTGTAAAGTTCTGGAAAGTTGATTGGAGTTCCACATTACATTTCATGGTTTACTGCAAAGCTCGAAACAAATAAGTGGGTTTAATGTCATAGGGTTTAGCCCTTTTTTCTTTTATTTAGTGCAATAGAATTCTGCAGGGAAGATTCCAACCCTTTACAGGTTGATTGACGCAACTTGACATGATGTAATCTCATGCAAAGTATATAAGGCTTTCAGATCCTCTTGGATGCAGGTCATTCATTCCTATCAATCAGACTACAGTTAAGAACTAAGGTAAATTCTGCTCCCAAAGAAACTTACCCAACCACACTGCCCCTCAAAACACACACACAAAAAAAAAGAGGAGGAAAGAGGAACAAAAGAAAGCAATGTTTGCTTAACTTTGAAGAGGAATTACAGAAAATCATGGCCTCATAAGCCTTGAAATGCGAGCAAGAAAGTAGATGGGGTGATCTTAAAGTGCTGCCTAGACCATTAGATCAAATTGGTACAGCAATAGGTATCATACTTTGGTTAAGGATGACACGAGTTCAGGTACTATTGAGGGAGATTCTCTTAATTTTAATCAATGGTTAGAGAAATTTTCCAATCCCGTGGAAACAAATGGTTGTCTGTGGAAGTCGATGATGAACTATAGAACTCTTATATTAACAAGCAGTTAATGTACCAGGGGAGGCAAATTTGGCAGCCTGTCATCCAACAAGGGTGTGTAAAAGAATTACTTTTTATTTCCATCCAGAGAAAAATTTATATGAACTTAGAAGGCGTACATTTGGCTTCATAGTGTTTTATAACTTCTCTGTTCGAAGATGTAATTAAGACCCAACCAAACCTGCTAGTTCGGTTGGGTACTGGTGAACTGGTGCCGCATCCAGTTGGTTCAAGGGGTCCTGAACTGCAGGGACCACGTTGAAAAATCTGGTCCAAATCGAACGGCTTAGACATGTCGAACTGATTGAACAAAAGTGACCAGCTGGTTCAGACCAGTTTTGACCAATTTTTTTTATTTTTCTGTTACTTTTTAATTTTTGTTTACAGATCAGTCTAATCAGTGAACCATTTAGTCCAACCAGTTTGGAGTTAGACTGGTGCCCTTACCAGTTTGATGACTAGTCCAGTCCCAACCGATTGAGGACGGTTTCTTTAAAAGTGCTAGTAAGACGGATCAAGTTCATCTGAAGCAAGTAATGTCTTAAGAGGAGATTCTGGAGATCGAAACAACTATAAATCTCATTCAGTGTGTAAATAAATAAGCAAAACAAAGCATGCAATTTGCCAGCCGCGAGGCATTTCTAGAGTGGTCTCGAGTGTGCCGAGTTCTCTATCCACGTTCTTTCATCTTTGTTGAGACATATCCACCACTTTTACCAATAGAAGTTATTAGCTGTAAATAAAAAACACCCCTTTTATATGCTTTAAGAAAATCCACAAGAAAAAGGCATCCTACAACGTGACTTCTACAGTTCAAATCTCAACTGAAAATCTCATCCCTCTTAGTCACACAAAACACCCACATAGCAAAATAAATAGTAATCAGTCCCAAATGACGCATGAACTCCAAAAATCATTTCCTATGTCATTCA